TTTTTTCCCCTCTCTCTCTTTTAGCCCTTCTCCCTGGGCTAGAGCCCAGCTTTTACAAGTGTTCCCGTCCAGTTCACCAAATAACCACCAACGGCTCTGGGACAGCACTCTTCCAGGCTCCCATACAGGAAAGGACAGGGCCTGGCCCTGCAGGAAAGCTCTAGATGCTCTCTGACTGGACCAGCTCACTCACAGCCCCAACCTACACAGTCACATGGCCATGGATGGAGCTGCAGGTTGGCCAGGACAGGTCCTGTGCCCCTCAAACCCAGATGTGGCCTGGCCCAGAGCCTGCAGTCTGAGGTGGGGGAGCAGTGACCCTATCTACTACAGGGGCGAGAGGGAATGGGGCTACTATCTCTGGCAACCACACTGGACTAATCCAGCCAGTGCTCTCTAATTCTTTTAGAGTCAGCTCTCCTCTCCCTGCATCTCCTACTCATCCTCAAAAACCCAGCTCAGGCCCTAACTGCGGCTGGAAGCTTCTGGGGGCACACTAGGGTCTCCCTCCTTTAAGCCTCTGTGCTATGGGCAGCTGGAGCTGCATTATGTCCCAGCCTCTGGATCACTGTGGCTCCAGCAGAGCTGAAACCAAGGCTAAGCACCCAAAGACAAGGCCACTCCGTAACCATGTCTGAATGCAGACAGAATGTGAACATTGTCCAAACCACACAACTGCGCAAACATCCTCCATCCTGGCTAAAATGGTTCCTTCTAATTGGAGTGTTGCTTTGCTTGGTTCCTCCTGCCTTCCAGATAAGAATTGTTGAGATGTCCAATCCTAGAATTACCCCTGCTTCCTGACAGCATCTGACTCAGAGAAAAAGCCCACAAAATAATTTAACACAAGCCAAAGTCTGAGAATAATCTTTCTAACATCCTTTCCCTGACAGGCCCCGGGAGTGCATTCTCCATCCATGCAATCCACCAGGAAACCCAACTTTGTCGAACAAAAATGGTGTTCTTGGCGGTCTTTGGCTGGAAGGGATTGGACAATCCTGCAAAAGGGATGTTCTTATTCTTATCTCACAGGTGAGGGAACGAGGGGTCAGAGAGTTTAATAAGTTGCCCGAAGTCACACAGCAGGCAGGTGGGGAAGCTGAGATTCCCCAGTGTTCTTTCCATTCAAATTCTGTTCATATTTTTCCTTTCTTATTTTATTTATTTATTATTGGGGTGTGTGTGTATTTTATAATAATTGGTGCTGTTTGGCAGACACGGCTGGGGTTTGGCTGTACCATCCTGGGGTAACTGATGGAATCTTCTCTTCTCCACAATATGGATGCTTCTGAACCCTTTTGGCTGCACCCCAGGATTTTTGCTTGCCCCTAATGTGGAGTTAAGGGTGTTCACTTTTGACAAAGGTGACTTTGCCTTACATTTGGACCACTCTTCTAATTTCCAGGCACTTCACCCTTTGTCACCTGGGAGCAGCCCCGTGGACAAGGCTGGGTGTGCAGACCATCTCTGCTCGGCTCTGAGAGGAAGAGATTTGTTCAATGTCACACATGGCTGGCTCAGGAGGGACTGGGCTAACAGAGCACAGGGATCCTTTCTTCTTATTATTTTTTTTTTAAGACTTATTTATTTGAGAGAGAGAGAGAGAGCATGAGCAGTGGGGAGGGAGAGGGAGAAGAAGACTTCCCTCTGCGTGGGAGGCCTTATTCAGGGTTTGATCCCAGGACCCTGACATCATGACCTGAGCTGAAGGCAGCTGTGTAACCAACTAAGCCACCCAGGGGGCTCATTTCTTTGTCCTACAAGGACCTCAGATCCATTCTGTTATCATGGTCCCTTTAAACTTCGATTCTTGTTATTGTGATTCTTATTATTTTTAGGTCAAACCATATGAAATTGCTAATATTTGGCCATTTCTGATCCACAGGGAAGTGCACTGTCGTGGGCCCAACATAATACTACTTTCTAATTACACGGTGCCCGAGACTGCCCCTGTGACCCCAGAGCTGCCAAAGCATCACCAGTGACTCACAGTTACTTACTTACGTGCCATCCTCCCATTCTACAGGTGGGGAGACACAGAGACAAGGCAGGGAGGGGACCTTTCAGGCTGCATGGGCAGTGACAGAGGGCCGAGACCCTGGTGACCTGCCCTTCCAGGCCGAAGCTCCATGCCAGCTCCTCCTGATGTCCAATTCTTCTCCCTTCCCAGAACCCCATCTCCAGGTCTGCTGACAGTCCAGCTTCTCTGTTAACTTGAAGTAACTTATATTTCTTTACAAAAACTATCACAAGAGTACCTATGCTGTGCCAGGCACAGAGCATGAAGACTGACCACAGTGGAGGGGCTTCCCAGGCACCGCGTGGCCCCGGGGCTAGTCCAGCTACCAGGTAGGTAACTAAATGTATTCATTTTAAACACTGAGATTCAGAGATGGATGTGAATGGGCCTCATTGGGGAGAGGGGACAGGGAAGGCCTCTCTGAGGGGGTGACATTTAAGCTGCCACCTCCTGCAGGTCCCCGACCACCTGCCTTGCTTTTTCGAGTCTGTGCTTTTGTGCCATGCTGACCTCTTGGCCCTTTCCTTGGCCGTGGTCCTGGGAGGCTTTAGTCACGAGGTTGACAACTGTCCAGTAACTGGAGCATTGAAACCTCTGTGCAAAAGCCTCTCATCAGCTTTAGTGAGACCCACCTGCTCCACATGTCCCCCCTGACCTGCTCGCTGTCCCCCACCCCCCGATTCCTGGAAGTTAACATAGGAATTTCTTTAAAGGGAAGAAGTATGAATCTTGACATTTATTTTCCTGGCCTTTGAGAGGCTGGGCCTGTGGAGTGTGTCACGGGAAAGGCCAATCCTAGGATGAAATCCCCTGCTGAGAGGTCACAGGTCCCCATGACACTCCCTGTGGTCGCTGGCAGCAGGCATGTGTCCATCAGAGTGGAAAGTGCTGCTAATCTGGGTGCTAATGTGCCCCTCGAGCAGGCAGTGGGGCCCCAGAACCGGAGGGCATCCTAGTGAAGGAGAGAAGAGACAGAGAAAGGGAGGTTGTGAAGGGGAGGAGCGGAGGCCAAAGGCCCCTGAGGAAGGTGGCTATGTTCACAGGGGACTGGCCAGCACTAAGGGGCTTTCGGTGTCTACTTCTGGAAGCTCTTGGTGACCTGTGAAGTTGCTTGTCACAGAATTCCCATTTCACAGATGAGAAAACCGAGGTCACGGCTAGTTTTTCACCCCAGCCTGACCCCAGGGCCTGTGCTCTTAGCTGCCGAAGCTGCTGCTTCCAGCCTTCCCAAGTGCTGGCCTGTCGATCAGGACTGTCTCCCTGAAAGCACGAGTGCTGTGCCAGGATCCCCTGACTGGGGCATGACAGGTGGACGGACGGACGGACGGACGGGCACTGAGCACATGTGTGTGTTGCTTCTGGGCCTTCGTCTCTGTAAGTGTGTGTCTCTGGGGATGGGGGGCAGTCTGTCTGGATCCTTCTCTCTGCTCCTGCCAGTCTGTCTGGGTCTCCTCACCCTCCCTTTGTCCGTCTACCTTGGGCTCAGCTCCTCTCTGTCTGCTTCAGGGCGGGCCTGTTTCACGCTGTCTCGCTCACCCCACCTCTCTGTCTGCCCCCCTTCCTTTGCTTCCTCTGAAGTCCTCCCAGGTCCCGTCTGTCATCTTCCGCCCACCTCTATCCTATCCTCCCCCCGCTCTGTCAAAGTGGGTCTTGTCCATGATCTCAGGAAGCCCGGCCCGTTAGGCCGACGTGGCCCTGTGTGAGCCCACAGCCCTGCGGGCAGCAGGCAGGCCCAGGGCCTGGTCCCCACCCCAGCTGGAAAGGCTGGGGCCAGAGGTGCACGGCGGCCAGCAGGCTGCCACTGGCTGGCGAAGGAAGGAGCCTAGAAAGGACCCAGCCACACCACCTGTGTGTGTGGGCACCTGCGTCCCCGGGCTTGGGCCAAGCGTGTCCTGAAGGCGGGGGACCCCGCCACACCTTCCCAGCCCCTACGTTGTCACCGAGCCAAAGCTTTGCCACGGTCGGACACACACAGGAGGCCCTGCCTCTACTCTGCCGGGCTCCTCTGGGACCTCTCTGGGATACCCCACGGGGCCCGGCCCACAGCGGGTGCTGCATGACGTGCAAGCGGGTCAGCCACAGAAGCCAGAGGCCGCAGGAACCCCTGCTTGGCTCTCCGGCCCTCCGGCAGGGCTGAGATGCTGAAAGGCCGAGCTGAGTCTTGGGGAACCTCAAGGCCCGCTTTCTTCCTTCCTCGCTCCCCCTTTGCTGTGTGGCAGGATAAAATTATTTTTGAGAAATGTTATTCCATAAATCCCCATAGAACACCTGCTGTAAGTCAGAGCTGTGCTGAGGGCTTGTCTGGTCATCTGTTCCTCAGGGGCCCGAGGACAGGAGCAGCCTTCCGAGGGGCAGCTCACTGACTCTGGCCGCAGACTGTCCCACTAGGCCTGCCCTTGGCCACCTGGGTGAGGATTTAACTTCTCCCTCCGTGGGGGGAGGAGGGGTGAGAAGGCTGAGAGAAGGCACCCTTTGAATCCCTGCCATTCTCTGTGTCTTGAAAGGACTCCAAGTTTCCTCAGTTTAAAGGGAAAGAAATGAGTTTCAAGTTGGAAAAGTTGATGGGTGTCCGACGTCTCGGCGCCACCATCCGGCCGCCTTGTGGGCCTGGTGGGGGGAGGGGTACATGAAAGGGGCCCTCAGAGGGGAGGACGAGGAACAGCCCTGCCCCAGCTCAGGCTGGGGACAGCCCCGCCCTCACCTGCTTCAGAAGCCCCCTTGAAAGCCCCCAGGTAAACCCCCACTCCCTTCCTTTATCCCAAGCCTCTTTTTTGAGGTTTGGCTGCATTTTTGATCTTAACAAGTTTTTTTTTTTTTTTTTTTTTTTTTTTTTTTTTTTTTTGTCATCTTTGCCAGGGCTTTTACAATGCGATTTCCTTTTATTTTAAAAACGGTGGCTTTCAAGCCTCCTCTCATCTGTGATTGTTTCATGTTTGCAGGTTTCTGGAAGGTTTGGAGCTGGTCCCTGGGTGGGCGACTTCCCATCTGCTCCTTGCTCTGCTCGTGGGCTTGGAAGGGGTTGGGGCCTCGGAGCAGCGGCTTTTCCAGCCCTCCTCTGGCTGGCCCAGCATGGATGGAGGAAGGCAGGGCTCTCAGCTGCCTGCCTCCCCCAGACCCTCCATTCATCAAGCAGCGGGAGACCTCATGGTGGGAGGCAGGCTGCCTGTGTTCCAGCCTTGGGCAGGTACTTGCACTCTCTGGGCCTCAGCTGTTCCATCTGTACAGTGGGAACAGCAACTGGATTCTAATATAGTAGTAATAAGTACTTAACGCGTACTCACAAAGAGATGGTATAAACAAGAATGCAGTAAGATGACACACAGAAAGTGCTTAGCACGGTGCTTGGCACAGAGTGAAGGATTGATAAATGGTACCCATCACAAGAGGGTAAGCCCTTGGTCTCCTAGACATCCGAGAGTTGGTCCTCAATTCTCATGCAGCTTCATCAGCTACTCTCCACCGAGCGCCAGTCTGGTGGCACAACTCACCCTGCACCTTTCCAATTCTGAATCTCTGTTGATCCTGCTCTGCCTCCCTGGGTCCCTCTTTCATACTTCCTCCTCAGATTGAAAGTCTCCTCCATCCTTCAAGGGTCAGCTCAGTGCCACCCACTCTGGGACATCTTTCTCCACCTCCCTCAAGTAAAAATTAGCCACACCTTCTTCAGTGGTTGTATGATTGAATTTGATTTTTATTTTACTTTGGAAGCAGGGGAAGCTAGTGTCCTCATTTCGTGCCTGTACAACTGTAAGCATACTCCTGAATCCCTGGGAGCCTCACTTCCCCCAGCTGGAGATGGGGATGACTATATCCTCCATTGTGTAAGCTCCATGAGAGAGGGGCTTTCTGTTTCTTACATCCTGCTATATTTCCAGCAGGGGAACACAGTAGGTGCTCAACAAATAAGTTACCAGAAATGATGACCACTGGGTTAATAGGATTCTTAACTACTTGGCATATAAACAATACTCAACAGATGGCAGTCCTCTTCATAATGCCCATTATTATTGAGAAACATTCACTTACTCATTCATTATAAGATGCAAATGTGGAATGGCTCCTGTATACAGGACACTGGTCTGGCACAAGAGGGTTCCAGAGGAATGGATGCTCTCTCTGCCCTTGCAGGGTTCTCTGATGAGATGGATCTGTAGATGGGCTGATGATGCCCCATGCCATGGCAGCAACGGGCTCAACTGGACGTTTGGAGGCCATACGGAGTTTCTGTTGTCCACTGACTCTGCAGGACACAGCCAGTTTCCTGCACACACTAGATGCCTTGTAAGTACTCTGAACTGAATTAAAACTGATCTTTAGAAGCCCACCCCTTGAAAGTTGCCTCAGGTTGGGCTACCACCTAACTTAGCCAATCCCCAGTGCTCTGGAGCCTGAAGGCAGCTCTCTGCTCTATCCTGATGCTTTTTTTTAAAAAAAAATAAGCTCAGTTGTTCCAGGAAACCCAAAGTCGGTTTGGGTTTGGGGGATGCACAATAACAACTTCGCAGCTCCCTGGTCATCAGATGGTCTGTCTGTTGCTTCCTCCTCTCTTTCCCCTTTTGCATAACGTTGGTCTCCCCAAAGCAGAACATAAGGCTAATACATTGCTTTGCTGTTCCCCCAAAGTGAGGCTTTTCAGATACTTCTTTCAACAGGGAGCTCAGACCCTTCAGCACCATCCACGGCCCCAGGGATACCTCAGCATTTGTCCGTGGAGCCTACCCACTAAGACCCATGGGTCTGCATTTGGGAAGCCCTTGCTGCACTCAGCCCAGCTTCTCAGGTCCCACACCAGCACAGCATTTCACTGCCCTCCACCCCAACCCATCCTTGTATGTCCTGCCCATTGAACTTCAAACTCCCTTCCCTTCGTGATTCAAGTTGATAGTGGACATTTCCTATTGTTTGGACAGCCACTATTCCCCTTTTTGGGATCAAACACACTCTTCCTGCTTATTTTCCTTTGGGGAACCACCTCCTGCCTTCAGGTTAGGCCCTTGGGCCTTGGGAGTGATGGACTGCACCCTGCGGCCCAGGGTGGACCCTGTGACCCACGGCTGACCAGTCAGAGTATCAAATCCCTCTGGCTGTGTGATTGGCTCATGGATGCCCACATGGCCAAAGAGAAGCCAATCAGGGCCGATCACTGCCACTCCATAGGCTACAAAGAGGCCCCACCTGCTCTTGGTCCTGAATTCTGGGGCTCCTGGGTGGCTTAGTAGGTCAAGGGCTGCCTTTGGCTCAGGTTGTGATCCCAGAGTCCAGAGATCAAACAGCATCAGGACCTGTGTTCCGCAGAGTCTGCTTCTCTCTCTTCTCCTCATCCTACTTGTGCTCTCTCTTTCAAATAAATAAATAAAACCTTAAAAAAAAAAAAAAGACAAGTGTAAGTCACCGTTTCTACCAGTCCTACTTCTGGACTTTCAGTGGCATGAGCCAATGAATGCTGCCTATGTGCACACGCATGCAAACACACACACACACACACACACACACACACACACACCTACCTCTCTTTTTAAAAAGCCACTCGGAATTGGATTTTCATCCCTTGCAATAGAAATATCTAACCATTTGCTAGAGCCTCCAGTGGCTCTGAAATTCCAAGCCCTGAAAGCAGGAAGACAGGTCAAGCCCCACCCCCTGCCCCCAAGGTCCTTTCCACAGCGGGATTCCAGGCGGGCGGCCTTTTTAAACAAATTATCCTGTGTCTTTCCTTTGCCCTTGCCTGGTGGAGACAGGGGATCTGTCTCCTCCTCTTTAAGCCGAGGGAGGGACAGTGCAGAATGAGGAAGTCCAAACCACCTTCTCTTCTGCTAAGGGGCACACTCCTTGAGTTTTTTTTTTAATTTATTTATTTATGATAGTCACAGAGAGAGAGAGAGAGAGGCAGAGACACAGGCAGAGGGAGAAGCAGGCTCCATGCACCGGGAGCCGGACGTGGGATTCGATTCCGGGTCTCCAGGATCGCGCCCTGGGCCAAAGGCAGGCGCCAAACCGCTGTGCCACCCAGGGATCCCTCCTTGAGTTTTTATATTGTTTTACCTTTTATTTTTTTCAGATTTACCTTCCTAATTAGGTTTTGCTCAGGCAAATATATTAGGATTAGTTTGTAATCCTTGAGCTCACAGAAAGTGAGGGTGGGATGCCTGAAGCGGGCTAGGAGCCAGGAGGAGGTGTTTGCTGTGGAAAATCCACAGGGTGGGGAAGCACATGGGTAATAAGGTGTGTCCACACATAAAATGGGATTCAGATGTGTTATTTATTTGTTTGCTTAATCCGTAGTTATGAATTATTAGTTATGTGCTAGGTGTTGGCGAATAGGACAAGGTACCTGTCTTTACAGGACCCCTGTGGAGGGAAAAGACAAGTAAGAAGGACAAATAAATCTGGTGAGAACAGGTAGCCTGGGCTACTGAGCCGCTGGGGTGCTGGGGAAGATTATGTTCTCTGCACCAGCAGGTGGACAGTTTCTCCAAAGAAGGGTTCCCACTTGCCCTTTGGCTATGTGTGACCTCCTCTGGTTCCAGCATTTGAGCTCACAGCCACATGGCCAACCATGCCAACCAAAGGTCACCCTCCAAGCCAAATGGCTGGGTCAGAGCCAACTCCCTTTCTGACCATCCAGGCAGGGAAGAGCCTCTTCAAGAAGAGCAGACTTCCTTGGGGTGAGTCCCCTTGGGGTCCTCAGGTCCCTTCCAGCCAGGGCTTGTGGTCAGAACTCTGCTAATTCACAAAGCCCTGTGCTTTAGTAAGCAAGGGGCAAGTGTCAATTCTCCTCCTGCGAGGTTCCTGGGTTCCTGGGCAAATGTGTCCATGGCATGGGAGGTGGGAGGTGAGGATGAGAACTGTGGAGAGGTAGACTTGATCAGGTCCCCAGAAATGTGGCCACATTCTCCTCCTTCACGATGGGTGTCTACTTGCTGATCATTTGCCCACCCAAGGAAGCCTCTCAAAAGGCCCTTTTGTGAACAGAGAAGATTTGCTTAAAGACGGTTAGTGGCTCCACCTTGGCAAAAAGCACTTCAGCAGCTCACAAACAGCTCCTTAAAGTTCTAAGCCTAAGCAGGCCCCGGAACTACAGGCCGAGTGCCTGAGTGAGTAGGCCTCTGGAGGACTCAGCCATTGGGCTGACTAGGCTTCCCTTGGACCTCCTCTTCTCCCATTGGGTAGAGTGTGGCTTCTGCTCCAGAGGCCTGGATGCCACCATTTCTGCCTTGGGACCAGAGAACTTGCTGAGCTGCTGAGCCTGGGGTCAGGCAGGAGGAGGCACAAGCATGGGGGTGGTGAAGGACACTGGGACCTTTGCAGGAGGCAAGGGAGCCTCTGAATGGTGGATGCCTCCCTCGAGGAGAGCTTGGGGCCGCCTGCCCTCCATTTTGCCTGCCATCATCACTTAGCAATGGCCGTTACAGGGCCCAGAGCTCTCCGGAAGGCCATCCACCCTGAAATGAAAGCTCAGCCTCCTCAGAGTGGGTCAGAGGAAGGGTGCTTATGGCCCATCTCTCTCTCATTGAGGGTAGTTTACATCTGTTAGTAAATTTAAATGATGAGTTAAATGTGGCTCAGATGGCCCCTCTAGGTCTGTCCTCTGCCTAACGACTGTGCAGACCCATTAGCAGTTCCTGGGCTGGTGCACAGGCTTGCTCCGGGGTGACTCCTGCCTCCTGGGTGGGGGCTGTTCCTCCTTCACACCCACCCGGGGCTGGGACACCGCCAAAGGCTCAACCTTCACAGTAGGAAGACATGGGGAGTGACTGCCATAGAGTCTGGGAGGAGTGGCTTTGGCAGTCCCTGCCGTCCCTGCCCCCTGCCCCCCTTGCCTCCCCCTGCCTCCTCCTTCCTGCTCTCTAGTTCAGCTGGGGGTGGGGGCACGTCACACTCAGCAGCCCTTCACTCTGCAGTAGAGCTGAGCCGAGAATGTCCTGGCAAGCCACTGAGCTCAACCTCCTACGTTAGATCTGGGGAAACTGAGGTTCTCTGGTTTGTTCCATCCTGCTTCCTGCCTGGGTGGGTTGATAGCACCAGCACAGAGTGTGGATCTCAAAGCTGGCTGCACATCAGCCTCTCCTGGGCAGCCCTGAACAAATATGAGTCTGGGACCCAGCCCGGTCAGGCCTGTGCTCTGCATCTTTTACAGGCCTCCAGGGTCTCTGAAATGTTTGGGGTGGATACACAGGGTGAGTAAAGGGAGGAGCTTCGATCTGAATTGCTGCTGCTGCTGAATGATGTGACTGTGTCTTCCAGGCCACACAACCTAAGGCCACACCAGGGCACCAGCAACAGGGATATGTATTTACATCGTTCCTCGGTATTGCTGGACTCCTGAAACCCCCAGATTGCCACTCAGTTGTTTTTGGGACTCCCTAGGCTTGTCTCATGTGGGCTTGTAAACGAACCTGTTAGCTACCTCGTGGCACAGATAGACCTCCATTCTGCTTCCGATCTTCTGCCCGAGGAGCTGTTCCCAGTGGCCCAGCCCTGCCTCTGTAGGCCCTGTCTCCCAGTCCCTTGCTCTCTGTGCCTCCACTGGGTCTGGTCCCTTTTAGGCCCCATGTTGCCAGCTGGACACACCTGAGACCCTCTGCTGGCTCCTACTGCCTCCACTGGGCCACTCCTCTCCGGCCCCACAGCTGCCTCTGAGCATCATGCTTCTGATGCTGTTGGGCTGGTGCTCCTCAGGAGCCAATGGCTCCCCGCATTTTGGAGTCCTCCGTGCGCAGAGCTGCCATGGGGAAGGTTCTCCTCTACCCCAATCCCTTTTCTCTTCTGCTGTCATTGGTCCTGATGTCTTTTGAGTTTCAATGCAAACCAGTCTTTTAGTTTCTGTTGATCACTTTTCTCTTTCACAAGGACTTGGGACATGAATCTCTGGGGAGCAGTTGGGAGAGAAACCCATGTGCCAGACACTAGAATCCTGGCCCCCAAAATTCAAACCTTTGTCATAAAGCTAAGCCAGCCTGTCTGGCTCTCCCTTTAGAAGGAATTCTATTCAAAGAAGTCTTTCCAAGCATGCAGGTAGACTTCTGGTCTACTGCGAGCCTGTTTCCACTGGCAGATGTGAGTGAGGCTCAAGCTGTCCTCCAGGATCCCATCTAAGTTGTATCATGGCCTGTTCCTGCCCTGCCTTCTGCAGGCCCTTTCTGTCTCTCCATCCTGCCGTTGTCCTCAGGCTGGCTGTGTGGACTCACCGATAGAGCTGATCACACTAGGGAAGTGTGTCCTCCAGCATACCTTCTTCCCAGCATAATTTCCCCTCCTCTCTCATTGCCTCACATATGGTCACATGCCCACCATTTTTTTTCTTAATATTTATTTATTTATTTGTTTGTTTGTTTATTTATTTATTTAAGGGATAGAGGAAATGAGAGAGTGCAGTAAGGGGCAGAAGGGGAAATGGGGTCCTTGATCACCAGGGAGCCCGATGCAGGGCCCAATCCCAAGACTCCAGGATCACACCCCGAGTTGAAGTCAGACACTTAACTTCCTGAGCCACCCAGGTGCTCCCACACGCCCACCTTTAAGTCACTGATGAAGGTCGCAGGGCAATCATGATTGGCCGACACCTCTGGGGACCCATCCTCTGAGGCTGGGGAGGGGCTGAGCTGCCCCCCCCAGCACCAGGCACTGGTGAGGAGCATGACCACCCATGAAAACTCCCCTCTGCACCTTTGCATACTTGTTTGAGCTTCCTGAGGCTGCTGTAACAAATTACTACAAACCCCCTGACTTCAAACAACAGAAATTTCTCCTTGTACAGTGCTGGAAGCCGGAATTCTGGAAGCAAGGTGTCAGTATGGCCATGCTTTTCTCCAAAGGCTCTAGGGAATGATCTGTTTTTGCTTCTTCCAGCTTCTGGTGGCTCCAGGTGTTCCTTGGCTTGCAACCACGTTGCACTACTCTGCCTGTGTGGTCACAGGGCCTCCCCTTCTCCCCTGAGCCTCTCATAAAGACACAAGTCCTTGCATTTAGGTCCACCCGGGCAACTCAGGATGCTCTTATCTCAAACTCCTTAACTTAGTTATGTGCGTCAAGACCCTCTTCTGAATCAGGTCGGTAACAGATTCAGAGGTTGGGATGTGGACATATGTTTCTGAGCACCACGTTCAACCCACTTCAGTATTCTTTAGCCCTGTCAGTGGAGATAAGTAAAGCAGGTGGGGGAAATTCATCTTGGGAGACAAGCAAGACACTGAGCATCTAACAAAGCGGGCTCCCTAAGAGACCTTGGCGGGCGAGGAGGCTGAGAGGTGCAGCAGAGCAGGGCCTGCCTGGAGGAGGAGGAAAAGTGAGGTCGGCCCTGGGGTTTACTTCTAACCTCTCCCTGGCTCATTTCCCCCACCGTCCCATTTGGTCTTGATTACGTGAATTTTTCTGTGATCACAGAATCTCTCATTGTGCCTTGCCCGACATCTAAAACAGCAAGCGGCCCGCCTGGCATTGAAAAGGAAAAAGTTTCTGGAGGACGCACCTGGGGCCAGAAGCCTTGAAGTGCTGTGGGTCTGGGGCTTGTGAAGGGAAGCCGAGATGGGGGAGGGCTGGGGGAGGGCAGGGGCCCGGCCCCAGGGCCAGCGACGGTCTCCTGATCCAGCCCCCCAGCCTGGTGTGGGCCCCGTGGGTCCGGGGTGCAGGTGGGGGGCACAGGGTTACCCACCCTGGGCACTCGGGGGTCCTCCTGGGCCCCAAGCGAGCAGCCTCGGTGGCTGCCTTTCCCAAGCCACCAGGCCTGAAAGCTAGAGGCCCAGGGCGAATAAAAGAGTCTGGGCAAAAGGCTCCAAGGCAGTTCAAAGAAGAGCGAGACTGGGGATGAAGTTTTCAAGCCACATCCAAGGGGAGGGCTTTTCATCTGCCAGCCTTTGAATCGGGAATCAAGGCGGGCAAAGTTACTACCAGGTTAAAGTTTAAATGGCACAGAAAGGGGAGCCGGGAAGATGAAAGGGCGGCCGTCTGGCCAGGGGAACAAAGCCGGAGCCCGGCCCGGGCACCTGGCCGCAGAGGCGCCGAGCGGCGGCGAGGGCCGGGCGAGGAGAGGCCGCGCCGCCACTGCCATTGTTCGCTTAAGAAGCCGAGTAATTGAAAGGAAAGGTGAGGCAAGGAGAGGCGGCCGGCGCGTGCGACTGCCTGGATCGTTAGAAAATAATTTAAAGGGAACAGGCCTATCAAGCCGGTTCTCTTATGGAAATGCGGGCGTTGAAGAGAAAGGGAGGGGACGGTGGGGGAAGCCTTTTCATTCTTTGAAAAGCGGGAGTTTTTTTCCCACTCGCCCAGCGCAGACTTGAACAGCGCGTGAAATCTCTTCTGTTTGCAAACTTGCCTCGCTCCTTCAGGGCCCTGGGCTGGGGTCCTCTCCAGCACTCGGCGGGCGGGTGGGGGCGCAGGGAGTTTCGGAGGGGCCACAGGGCTGCAGCTGCACGAGTGGTTCGTTCCAGAGACGGGTGCCCTGGTCACCTCCTGGTTGCTTCTGCGGGCTCCCCTGCTACCCACTGTGATTTCTGCCGTCTGAAGGACAAGAACAGGTGAGTTAGCATCCTGCCCCAGGGGGCGCACTGCACCTTACGCCCACACCTTTCCAGATGGACCTTATGGGCTCCCACTGTCTGGCTGGAGGCAGAAGGACATCCTCGATCACACCGTTTCAGTCTTCTGGAACTAAAACATGTTCGAGATTGGCAACATTAATCAAGGAGGTACCTATTACGTGCCAGGTAAAGTCTCGTGAGCAAGACCTAGATCCTTGTGTTTAGAAACCTGTAGTCTAGGGGAATCCCTGGTGGCTCAGCGGTTTAGTGCCTGCCTTTGGCCCCCAGGTGTGATCCTGGTAGTCCTGGGGTCAAGTCCCGCATCGGGCTCCCTGCATGGAGCCTGCTTCTCCCTCTGCCTGTGTCTCTGCCTCTCTCTCTCTCTATGTTTCTCATAAATAAATAAATAAAATCTAAAACAAAACAAAACAAAACAAAACTGTAGTCTAGATAGGGAGGTGAGCAAATAAGCAAGAGCAATATAGACCGTTACAGAATGATAACAGAGGAAGCCTTGTGGCCGGGGAGGGTGCTGAACCTGGTCTCTGGACCTTCAGGGACACCTACTGGAGGGGGGTGTGGACGCTTGAACTGAGTTGTGAAGAGTCATTAGCTGCTAGTGAGGGGGATTCTACTTTCAGCCAAGATGGAGTAGCATGGATCAGATTTACCTTCCTGCCTGCACTGGACAAGACATACGAAACAATGATTTGCAAGACGTTAGACATTAAGAAACGAAGGGCAGTGTTCCCTGAGAGATGGAAATCAAATGAGGTGAGCCCTCCGACTGCACCTCACAGCCTTGAGGGAGGTACCAGACCACAGCACAAGGAGGGGAATTTAGGGGAAGACTGATAGATTCCCTTTGTTGGGGTGACTGAGCTGAGAACATGGAGACTGAGGTGGCCAGAGTTTGCAGGGGAGGGGCTCTGACAGGAGAAAGTTCAAGACAGAGAGAACTCTGGAGATATGCAGAGGGATGCCCTTCTCAAGTATTCAGCAGAATATCAGCCAGCCCATATGTGTGCAGAATGGTAACTAAAGCGAGGGAATGAATCACCCAAAGGGTCAGAGTGAAGAGTGACTGCATCCAGAATAAAGCACGAGAATGTTTACAGGATTACAAAAACATTCAGAACCCAGAGAGGTAAAATGCATTGTCTGGCCTCCATTGACAAATTACCAGGCATGTGAAGAAGCAGGAAAATATGAGCCAGGATGAAGGAAAATGACTCAATCAACACTGACCTAGAACTGATGCAGATGTTAGAATTAGCAGGCAAGGATGTTAAAACAGTTCTCACGACCCTATTCCATATGTTCAAAAAGTTAATTAGAGACACAGAAGACATGAAAAAGACCTAGATCAAGCTAGGAGAAAGGAAGGCTCTAATGATGGAGACTGGAAAGCACATGGATGGAATTAATAGATTACACATTGCAGCACAAAAGACTAGTGAACTTTACAACAAAGCAATAGAAACTATTCAAAATAAAACAAAGAGGGGGAAAAATACAAAGAAAACAAGTCAGTAAATAGCATACGTGAACCGTGGGACAATATTCAGTGGCAACATACTTGTAATGAGAGTACCTTAAGGAAAGGGGTGTGTACAGTAAACTTATTTGAAATAATAGTGACCCAAATTCCTCCAAACTTTATGAGAAGTATAAACCCATGGTTCCAGGAAGCTCAATGAACTCTAAGCACAGGAAACATAAAGAAAACTACCCCCAAACCTATCATAACCAAATTGCTCAAAACCAATCATAAGGAGAAAAATTTTAAAGAAGCAAAAGAGAGAAAAAGACATGATGTACAGAGAAACAAAAGATTACAAAAGATTTCTCGCAAGAATCAATGCAAATGAGAAGATAGTAGAGCAACATATTTTATTTTTTATTTTTTTTTTAGAGCAACATATTTTAAAATAATGGGCACAACTCAAAGATATCATGGGTTTGGTGTCAGACCACTGTAATAAAGTGAATATCACAATAAAGTGAGTCAAAGGACTGTTGTGGTTTCTCAGTACATATGGAAGTTGGTTTATACTATATTGTAGTCTATTAAGTGTGTATTAGTGTTATGTCCAGAAAATGTATATATTTTGATTTTAAAATACTTTATTGCTAAAAATTGCTATCATTTGTAATTTCAGCAAGCCATAATCATGATCATGGATCACCATAACAAATTTAATAACAATGAAAAACTATGAGATATTGTGTGATGTGCGACACAGACACACAAAGTGAACAAATGCAGTTGGAAAATGGTGCTCAATGGAGGGTTTGCCACAAACCTTCAATTTGTAAAACAAACAAACCACAGCATGTGCATAGTGCACTAAGGTGAAATGCGATAAAACAACATATGCCAATATTGAAAGAATGGTCAACTTATAGTTCTATACCTAGTGAAAATAATTTTCTATTTTTATGAAAATATTTTTCAAAAATGAACGCAAGTAGAGAGAAGACCCTGAAAATATGGTGAAGTAGGAAACATCAGTGTCTCCCCATCTAGACAATAATTACACTGGCAGGACCTTTCTGATATAACTATTTTGGAACTCTGAAGTCTATTGAAGCCTTGCAACTTCCAAGGGGAGGCTTGGATGGTCAATTGCAGTTAATATTGGTTAATTTCAGCTTGTAGGGTGGTATCCATCTCCCATACTCAGTCCCATAGCAGGCAGCCATACCCATTTTTTTAAAGATTTATTTATTTATTTATTTATTTATGATAGAGAGAGAGAAAGAGAGAGGCAGAGACACAGGAGGAATGAGAAGCACGCTCCATGCCAGAAGCCCAATGTGGGACTCGATCCCGGGTCTCAAGAATCGCGCCCTGGGCCAAAGGCAGGCGCCAAACCACTGAGCCACCCAGGGATCCCCCATACCCATGTTTTTGAAGCAGCTTTAATGCAGTTTATGGGAGCCAGAGTGGGCAGAAACGACTCTTTCCCCTAAATAGTAGGAATCTGTGCTCTGATTGCTACTTGCAAGTTTTATTCAGAGTTACAGCCAAGAGGTTGGCAGCCACTTTTTGTTGCACCTCTTCCCGTTGTGAGAACACCTTCTCTTGCTGAAGTGACTGTCAAGAGATTTGAAAAGCTTACACATATTCCCCACATCTTCATTCTCTTCTTTCTTACTTTTGGGAGCCAGACACACAAGCCTAGGACCTCCATAAGTAACTGCATATACAGGGAAAATTAGAAAATGACCACACATGCCTAGGGAAAGGCATAGGTTCAGAAGAAAACCTGGAAAGACCTTACGTTTCCATGCCAGGCTGATCCTTGGTACAGAGACGGTCTACAATGATAAAAAAACAAAATCCAAAGCAATGACAACAACCAACAATCCATAAGAAAGGGAGATAATCTGATATCTAGTGAAATCACATTATTAGATTTGAATGCTCAGTTTTCAACAAAAACATCATAAGGCATATAAAAAAAAAACAGGAAAGTATGCCCATTCAAAAGAAAAAAGAAATTGACAGAAACTGTCCTTGAAAAAGTCTGAAGGCAGACTAAACTAGACAAAGAGTTTAAAGCAACTGTCATAATGCTGTCCAAAGAGCTAAGAGAAGATGTGGAGAAAGTTAAGGAAATGATGTATGAAAGAAGTGGAAATATCAAAAAGAGATAGAAAACATAAAAAGAAAACCAAAAAGAAATTCTGGAGCTTAAAAGTATAGTAGTTGAAATGAAAAATTCACTGAGGGATTCAAAGGCATATATGAGCAGGCAGGAGAAAGAATGAGCAAACTTGAAGAGAGGACAGTGGAAATGACTGAATTTGAATATGAAATCTGAAAGACAAAAAAATAAAGAAACATGAACAGAGCTTAAGGGACCTGTGGAGCACCATCAAGTAGAAGCATAAGCAATGTGGGTCAGAATCCCAGAAAGAGAGAGGGCAGAGAGAATATGTGAAGAAATAATGGCTGAAAACTTCCCAAATTTAATGAAATACATGAATATAAATATCCAAGAGGCTCAGCAAACTCCAGGTTAAGATGAGTTCAAAGAGATCCACACAAAGACACATTGTATTTAAAATTGCAAAAACCCAAAGACAAATGAAAATCCTGAAAGCAGCAAGAAAGTAGTGAATAATCATATTCGAGGGATCCTCAATAAGTAAGAACAGCAGCATATTTCTCATCAGAAACGTTGGAAGTCAGTAGGCCAATATATTCAAAGTGCTAAAAGAGAAACTGTCAACCAAGAATCTGATATCTGGCAAAACTATTCTTCCAATGTGAGGGAGAAATACCTAGATGAACAAAAACTGAGTGAGTTTGTGACCACTAGACCTGTCCTGCAAGAAATGTTCAAGAGAGTACTACAAGGTGAAAAGAGAGGACACAAAATAGTAATGTGGAACTACATGGAGAAATAAAGATCTCAATGAAGGTAATATGTGGGAAATTACAAAAGCTAGCATTATTATATCAATGGTTTATAACTCTACTTTGTTTTATACATAATTTAAAAGATCAATACATTAAAAATGATTAATGTCTAAGAGGATTATTGTAACTTTGTTTTATAGTTCCACATTTTGTATCTACATAACTAGAGACACTAATGTTAAAAGAATTATTAACTTATGTTGTGAGGCACTTAGTGTGTAAAGGTAGGATTTTGTGAAATCGACAAAAGAAAGGGGGTGAGGACAGAGTTGAAAAGAAGCAGTTTTTTTGTATGTGATTGAAGTTAAGCTGGTATAAATGAAAATTAGACTGTTCTTTTTTAAAGATTTTACTTACTTATTCATAAGAGACAGAGAAAGAGGCAAAGACACAGGCAGAGAGAGAAACAGGCTCCTTGCAGGAAGCCTGATGTAAGACTCGATCCCAGGGATCATGCCCTGAGCTGAAGACAGATACTCAACCACTGAGCCACCCACACAAACCTAGACTGTTATTTTAAAAAAGATTTTATTTATTTATTCAAGAGAGACACGGAGAGAGGCAGAGACATAGGCAGAGGGCGAAGCAAGCTCCCTGCAGGGAGCCCTATGTGGGACTTGATCCCAGGACCCTGGGATCATGACCTGAATGGAAGGCAGATGCTCAACCACTGAACAACCCAGGTGCCCAAAATTAGAGTGTTATGACTTTAAGAAATTAAATGTAATCCCTATGG